CACATTTATTACATTCGGATAATGGTGCAGAATTTGTTGCTCAAGTGATTGTTGAATTCAAAATACTTTCCAGAAATGTGTTTTATTCGAGGAAGACCATGACATCCACAATCACAAGATTGTATGGAACGTGCTAATGGTGTTTTAAGTATTACCTTAGGAAAATGGCTTTATACAAATCATTCAACTCATGGGTCAGATGGTCTTCTCCCAGTTGGTCACGGTATAAATACTAAAGTTTCATCAACCACAAAAACGACACCTTATGAAACAATGTTTCGGACAAAAACCATGCTCAGATTTTGATTTTCGAAAAATCGTTAAAAGAAAATGGTATTCAAGATGTCATGGAATATAGGTACTCGGCTACGCTGAGCATAGTAAACATTTGTTTTGGTGTAGAAATGAATATAACTTCATGAGAGGTATTTTTGTGAAAATCAGTTTGTCGTCTGTTAATAGCAAACATTAAAATGCTTATATCTCGGCCAAATCTCATGCTGACTCAAGGAACCTTTCAGGAGAGACTTAAAAGGTGCCATATATTGCTGATGCCGCCGAAAAAGTGATCTAGCAGAACACTGATGCTTCGAGGTTTTCAGAAGGTTTTTGGAAATCCTTAAACCAATGCTCGGCTGAAATTCACCTTTTTCGTTGTCGGTTATGCTTGATGAGCTATTCTGAGCGTTTTCTGAATATTTCCTTGAGTCAGCATGAGATTTGACCGAGATAAGCATTATAAAGTTATACAAAAAATACCCACCAGCACTGAATTTTGGGATGAATAGTATTTATAAATGAAAGCGTTCACTTACTATGGGACTAGTTTATTTGTTCACCCTCGAACTACAGGGACTTTGGAAACTATACGAATTCTTCTGACTGTAGAAACGTAAGAAAATATATGTTGTGTATAAACATTAGGAACTAATGACTATCCAGGGTATTCGACTTGTCGGAACTACTCGACCTAAAGGCACATTACGTACCATAGATACGGGTTTCCGAAAATCTCGATTTTTCTTGTCCGACCCTCTTCTTTCCAAAGATGATCGGTACCAAGACCAGTAGGCGGCAGCACGGGAATCAAATAATGCCTTAGAAAATGTCACAGGCTGAAAACCTGGTGAATCTCTTAGAGATTTCCAAGAAACCCAGATATTCCGGAAATCCGTGCTCCAAAAGCTTGGCAGAATATCAACTGGGTTTACAATGACCACTTTGTAAACCCAGGTGTCGTTTTTGTGGTTGATGAAACTTTAGTATTTATACCGTGACCAACTGGGAGAAGACCATCTGACCCATGAGTTGAATGATTTGTATAAAGCCATTTTCCTAAGGTAATACTTAAAACACCATTAGCACGTTCTATACAATCTTGTGATTGTGGATGTCATGGTCTTCCTCGAATAAAACACATTTCTGGAAAGTATTTTGAATTCAACAATCACTTGAGCAACAAATTCTGCACCATTATCCGAATGTAATAAATGTGGTGGATTAAAACTAAAAAGCAATTCACGAAGTTTCGATGCAACCTCAACAGCTGATTTATTTTTCGGTGGATAAGCAAATGTAAGTTTCGAAAAATGATTGATGGAATGAAGAATCCAAGAATAAACAATATCACTATTTACAACATCGGGTCTTGTACGCATATCTATTAAGTCATATCGACAGTTTTCGTTATACAGGAAAAAATCATGACGCAATTATAGTTGAAACGAGGAAAATTTTTTTATATATGAAGGTTCAAATAGTTTGGTAGTAGAATGTATATATTACGAATACTTTTGATTTAGATGTGTGGTTGATAGATAAATAATACTTTCAAAGAGAGCGGTTAATTACTTTTGAAGAAATAAAGGCAAAATAAAGAGGCTTAACTTTGCAGGAAAACATAGGAGAAAATGGATACGTTAGATATCTAGTCTAAATAGTATCAGAGTAGCATAAACTGTAAAAGAAAAGTATGTGTTTTTGATCGATTGATAAAAGAATAATCTATTGAAACAGAGCGGTTCGTTGTTTTTGAAGAAGTGAGGTGAGGGTGAGGGGACCCCTCCCCGAAATATATATAAATATGTTCCGAATTATAAGTCTCTTAAAGTTTCATTTATTCAAACTGGGCGTAAAAGTGATCACTTATAACGGACTTATATATTTCGGAAAAATTTTGACTCAGCATTTCGTAAGAGCTCGTTAGGTACTAGTATCAAATTACACTTCGAGTACAATTTGATAACTGCATCAGAGGAAAAATGTCATCGTCCCATATATGGGACACCCGGCGCGAAAGGGTTAAACTAGATAATTGAAGCGTTTGGGAAACAATTGAAGACGTGTAAAACATGTAAATGTATTAAATCGTAATGATAAGAAATGTAAAGCATTTTGTCAATATTTAATCAAACTTACAACTGTTACATGTTATTATGAAGCTTGGATAGAAAAAGAGACTGTTGTGTATCATTTTGTACGGACGACTAAAACATATTTGATACAGAAAATAAGCACATAAGCTAGTTTTATTTTGATATTGCTCCCCTACCTTTTCTTCACTTTTTTCCATTGTTATTTTTTTCACGAACATATCCGCAAATACATCCATTTTAGCTGTGTTACGCTCTACCATACTTTTCATTTCATCAAAGGATTTGAATTTATTATTCAAATGCTTGGCGGCCTTGTAAATAGTTATATTTCTACTGAACGATATTTCGAAGAATATTCCCGTTTGTCAGTGCAAAAAACTTGCTTTTTTATACGATAATTAGCGATATTTACAGCGATATACCTCACAAACTAAAGGGGTTCCTTTTCTAAAAAATACATCAGTATCGTGTACAACTCGTGTATTTTAAACTAGTAGAACAAATGGAAATGCAACTTGTCTAATTAATACAATTTGAACTCGCGAAGTTGTCAGAATACGAATAAGTTTAGAGTGAGTACTCTCTTTCTTGAATCTGTAAAAGATAAACATTCGATGAAAATATAAAATTTGGTTTAGACGCCGGACCGAGCAGTTGTGGCATAATGGGGTTACTGCTAATGAGATTGAATGTCAAATACAAAAAACATTGAGTTGCGGTTACCCTCGATTAAAAACCATTTCTCAGTCGCCCGTCCGCCGGCTTATGTTAGCACCAAGATCGAATGTAAAAGCTTCTAAACATTATCATGGTATCATTCAAGCAAAAATTTCGCCAAAAAGGAATTCAGCATCAGTTTTACCACCTAGTTTTCATTTTTCTGCTGCGCAGGTGAAATACGGACGAGAATTAGCATCGTTATACAGTGATGAAATTATAGATATGTCGTGTGATAACAAAGCCAGAGTTTTAGTTGGCACATTAGCGGTAAATACTTGTTATTTTTGAAAGAAAATATGAAATTCTCCGTATCATATATTTAGATCAGTCGTTATGATCAAATTAGGAAATTTCATATGACTCATCAGGCATCAAATTATCAAGACCATGATTTTCCTACTGGGGCGAAGATAACACCAACTGTTTATATGGAGAAGACTCCTTTCAAATGATACAGACATACGGAAACGAAAGAGTTATACAATATGCAGAGACACTTATAATAACGACTCTGGGAAAGACGAAAGTAGATATAAATACTCATCAGATAGATCAGGAATAGAATAGTCTTCACTATAACCATAAAAAAACAGACATTTTTGGATTGCGGAGATATGAGAAATAAAACGTTTCGACCGATGTATACATCTAATAGAAAGGGATTTACTATTAACAATATGATTTTGAAGATTCTCATTGTGCACAATCTTTGTTTTCTCTTTTTTATGATTGACTTCGATGAAGCCATCATCATAATCCATATTCCTTGAAGGCGAGGTTGTCGTTTGAAGACAGGCTAAAGATTCACCAGGCAAGCTCCACTGCTGTGATACTTCCTGTAGATTTTGACTCCACCAAGAATGTTGATTATTTATAAGTTGCAACGATTGACCATATATTTGATTATTGGACATCGTATAAGGTATATTCGATGAAGATGGATGTTGACCCTGACAACTATTACTTGGCAAAATTTGATGTTGGGGATGGGGAACAAAACACGATGAAATCGAGTGATTTTGTTGATTTAAATTCATTTGCGTATTAGCCACCATTGATGGAAGTATCGGGTAATGCTGATACTGCTGCTGCCATTGTTGCGAGGAAACAAACGTTCGATTTGACGCCGGCTGTTCACATGGACAGTAACCATTACTTAGAGTCGAATTCTGCGTTACTTGTCCAGCGAGAGCTTCGCCATTTTGAGGGCACAAAGTACCAAAGGCATTGGAATACATTGTAGACGTACTATGGCCTTGTGGGGTGGCCACCTCCGTTAAATTCTTGGGAATTAAGCTAGTCACGTTTTAACTCTTTACGATAAAGAACGAGAGAACAAACAGAAAAACGTGACAAAAAATCAATGTATAATATGTATAAGGAACGAAGGAGACAGAGAGACACGTCTTATCCGTATCAGAGTGAAAGGAGAATGACGTGCATGTTCTTTCTGTTCTACGATAGTTCCATATTCTTTTTCTCAAGCAGACTATAAGAAATTATTCTATTTTTCTGTAAAGAACAAAATAAGAAAAGAACAAATTTTATATTTTCATCAAATGTTCATCTTTTACAGATTCAAGGAAGAGAGTACTCACTCTAAACTTATTTCGTATTCTGGCAACTTCGCGAGCTCAATCTGAAAGTACAAACGGGAATATTGTTCGAAATATAATTTATTCATCAAATATTCACCTTTTATATATTCGAGGAAGAGAGGGCTCACTCTAAACTTATTTCGTATTCTGCCAACCTGCAAAGTATTTTCAGAAAAATCGAATGAACGACTTTCGATCTGAAATTTTGTCCGGCACTTGGGAAGGTGGTCTTGTAAATACTTAGGGCAATCCAAAAGTAGTGTCGTCACTATCTTATTTCCTTATAGTAAGTTCAAGGAAATTTTCGTTTTTGATGTAGTGATACAGGAAAGAACGCTCTATTTTTCTATGCTATTTGATCATACTTCAACTAATATTATAATAATAAAATTTCGATAAGATCTGTTTTGTTTGTATGTGTCCCGGTAGCATGAACGCTGATTTTAAAAAAATATGGGTGAGTATTTTTTGAATAACTTTTGATAAAAACAAGAGAGAGAGCTGCGGTCTTCACCGCTGGAGATGATGACACATCGAATCATATATGACAGGGTTTCCTGACCTATTTTTTGTCAGGTTTTCAATTTACCTTTTTACCTGAACGGATTTCAGATGAAATATTTAACGCTTTTTTTGACCGTTAAAAACGGAATCAAAACGCGTGAGAACAGAAAATTTTGGTAAAGCCAAAAGTGAGACTTGGCTATCCAGTGGGACTTGATCTAAAAATAGTTGAAAGTCTATAACAAAGGAAGTATAAAACTAACGATCTAAGACCGAAAAAGAACGAAAAGAAGATGATATTTTTTCGATATTTCGATTGTGCTTATATAATTGGCTGACGGCAAAACAAGGCGGTGAGCGACCAGGGGTAAAAGAGTTAGAGAAAAACGCGTTTTTTTTCGTGTTTAACGAGCATAAAACGCGTTAAATGTTTCAAAAGCAACGCTAATAAAATCGCATTTCACAACCAATGAAAACACGTTTTTCGGAATTAGCAAACGATCGTTAAACGAGCCGTTTAAACGCGTTTTTGTCGTTCAGAAGTTTAGAATAACGCGTTTGTTAATGATCGTTAAAATAACCGTTTTCTGGAGTTTTGTTAAACGCGTTTTCTAACGACGTTAAAATGATATAACTTTCGAATTTTTCTCTTTTTGTAAACGCGTGTAGAAACGACACGTTAAAACGCGCTTTTGTATAAAATAAACGCGTTTCAACGTCGTTAGCAAACGCGTTTAACCGGTTCTTTTAACGATCGTTCGAAAGAAACGCGTTCTTCGTGCCGTTTCTAACCATTTTTTTTTCGGAATATAAGTTACACTCAAGTTTTCAATCAAATCTATCTTATCGCATTACGAAGATTTTTTCTTTTAAACGAAAGCAAAACGATATACTAGAAGTTTTTCTGTTCTTCTCAGAAGTTAGCTACTTAAAATAGCCTTAATTAAAACGGCACCCTTTCTCCAGTTTTTAATGAATGTAAAGTAGTTGTAATAAAACCGAGATAGTGGGCTATTAAGAAAAACAAAAAAACTTTTTATTTTAAATTATTCTTAAAACTAATGAATGGATCCTTTTCGCTATTTTGTATAGCGTAGAAACTAAAGTTCATTTTTTGTTTTCTGTACAAAATAGTAAGTACTATGTTACAATTTTTCCCGTTTGTTTGAAGGGATGTCCCACCCCGTCTTCGATCCACCAGGATGAAATGGATAGCTTGCTGCACGAAGTATTCTCATCGCAAATTTACGTATGAATGCAGAAGACATTCGCTGGTTCACTCTGTCTCGATACATCGCTTCACAATAACGTTCGCGACGTGAAGGACGGACACAAGCCAGTAAATGTGTTTGGGACACTATTTGGGTGAATATCTGTACGAAGTGTCGTGTGTGCTTTTGTCCTATACCTCACATCAGGTGCATTTTTATTTCTTATTTATGTTACTCATAATTGTTCGCGTAATATTTTCTCACCTATGTAATCACTCCTACAACCTACGGTGATTTATGTACAACATGGCGTCGCGAATCGAAAATTTGTGTCTAATTTTATCACTGACAGATCACTTTATCTACCGGAATAAGAAAGCGTGAAGGTGAAAGTGTCGTAAACACTGTGACTATTTTCGGTTTAATACAACTAATAATGAAAAATAATATATAGTCATATAACACTGTCAGTTTGAATGAATACAGAATTTTTGTCTGATCAACTAGAATGGTACAATTTATACTTTTACTGTTATTTTTGCTTTTTCATGTAATCGTTCAGGGTATACATTTGCCTACATTATCTGGACGAAAACCCTTATCACCATTTGAAGATGGACTAACGAGATCAGTAAAAGGCCAACGGCCGTTCCTAAATAAACTTCGCACTAATTCTAAAAGTCTCAATGGCTACACTACTAAAGCTAAAGCTGATTACATCCATTCGTTACCAGGTATACTCTCTTCGAAAATTAATTTTCGGCAATTCTCGGGATATTTAAGCATTAGCCGCACAAAACACACGTTCTACTGGTTTGTGGAAAGTCAGAACAAACCAAAGAGTGATCCACTAATATGGTGGAGTAATGGAGGTCCTGGATGCTCCGGCTTAATCGGTTTGTTTGAAGAATTCGGACCATTTCGTGTGCAACCAGATAACATTACACTGCTAATAAATCCTTATTCATGGAATCGTCTAGCTAATTTGTTGTTTGTCGAAAGTCCTATTGGTGTTGGTTTCAGTTACAGTGATGTTCCGAACCGTGATTATGTTGAATGGACTGACTTACAAACCGCAAAAGATAACTACTTTGCATTACAGGCATTTTTTAACAAATTTCCACAATATAGAAAACATAATTTATACCTCAGTTCGGAATCATACGGGGGACATTCAAAGTAATTCTTTACCGACATCCACAAAAATCAGTGAGGACTAGTGGCAGTGCTGAGAATAGTACGTTCGTTCTCCTATTGACAAGATGATCGTGGACGAGAGCTGGGTGTCGTCATGAAAGCACAACTTCTGTGTGGATTTTCATAGTGAATAATCTTTTATGTGCCTACATTAGCAAAACAGATAGTTAATAGAAATGCAAAGATAAAGTCAAACAGTTCGAATAAAATTAATCTTAAAGGTCTCATGCTTGGTAATCCTCTTAATGATCCATATTCTTTAGAATACGTTGGAAATCTTCAAGCTTATTGGGGACATTCTCTCATCGATAAACAAACATGGGATAATGTAGTTCGGTATTGTATTAATCCTTATGAACGGAATCCATATAACCCTGAAACCGGAACTGGCTTTAAGTCGTGGAAAGACCCTACGTGTAATAAGTACGATGCCCAGGCTAATTTCTTTGTAATGCCACAGTTCATGTTTCCAGCTAATTATTCGTCTGGACTTGATCCTTATGTAAGTTGCTATAATCTAATTTAGCGAAATCATACTACGAAAGAATTCGATACTAAATCTACTGTTAATATCCAGACAATCTTTCCCATTCTCATTTTTAGAACAGCAATTTTATTGTAGGGACTCGACTATACATACTGTACGTCTGCTCAAAATCAACGCGAAACATTATGGTGGCTTCGACACAAATCATCCTCATCGAAAGGTAATGCGGCCGGCATGTTTCGACCATGTATCAACTCGTACACAGTGGTTTATCTTGGTTTGTCAAATGTGCAAAAATCTATTCATGTTCGATCGGCTAAAATTCCTCCGCATAATAGTAGATCTGAGAAAGGGAGTGTATGGATCGATTGTTCAAATCTGGTAGCGACTCAATACAGCACCCAAAGTCAGAACACTTATATGACTTCACATTATACTTACTTGTTACAGAAAGAACCTAAATTAAGAATTCTTATCTTCAGCGGTGATGACGACGCAGTATGTGCAACTGTGGGAACTCAACATTGGCTATACGGTATGAAGCTCGCCGTTCAATCTCCATTCCAACCATGGTATGATTTATTTGAACCAGATCAGGTCGCTGGATATGTAGTAAAATTTAAGGGTATCTCCTTGGTTACAGTGCACGGTGCTGGACACGAAATTGCTCTTTATTCCCCTGCACGAGCATACGGTTTCTTCAAATATGCTTTAGAAGGGAAATTTTGGTCGTGAGTAATTCGATCTTGATTTATTAGCTCACTCAAAACTAACTTACATTCTAAATAAGCATTTTTCTCAGTTATATTCGCCTCTACTCTAATGCATTACAATGTGTATATCGAAACTTGATTCATATTCACAGTTGACTTCGCGACACTTATTATAGGAAGAAAAGTAGAAGATCAAATTACCATAGCGGATATAATTGTACCTCTAATGCCATTATATACGTCTACAGACGTTTGAGCGAGTGGTATTTTAGGAGAAAGATGGGTAGTGAGAATAAGTGAATAAACTGCAGTTTGGGTTAGCACCGGAAGTTCGAGAAGTTGGCAGTTGAAGGAAGAGAAAGCTAAGCGTAGAACAGAATATACTTATCAAGCTAAACTTAAGTGAGTTACTTAGAAGTCATTCCACGAAAAAGACGACTGTTTCTCACGGAAGCCTGCTCAATGACTATTTCAGATTTCTTTATAAGTAGCCTCATCTTATAGAGCATGGTCGAAAACCTATAAATCCAAATTTGTAGGCTTCCCGAATTTTTCGTTCTCTGGATATGGAATTTTTTCGATCGGAGTAAAGTTAGAGAAGTTATACGCGTGAAAAACGCACATTTCGTTTTTCTCGTTCACGAGAAAAGATTCCGCTTCTCCAAAAATTTCCGAAAATAGATTTTAAAGAAACTAAACTTGAGAAAACTAACAAAACAGCTGGTGTTAATAATAAATCTACTCGTTATCAGAATTTTATCAATCACAGCTTTATCTTCAACTGGTTGGATATGAGATAAGCACTTGAAAAGCTCAAGAAAACACATACGACATCAAACAAATATCTTCTGTGTGAAACTACTTTTCGAACTCATGCCCACACTCCCACCGCCCACCACGTACTGCCAAATTTGGGGAAATGTCGTGTCACGGCAAAAGAGCTTTTGAAGTTACTTTTCAACAACCAGTTTTCTAAGGATCTTTGGAATACCATTTCATGACGTGAAAATTTAGCATAGCAGCACATTAACTTTTTTACATGAATAGATAGCCTGAAGTATCCTCTTTCAAACTGAAACTAAGCGACCTTTTAATCTTTCGTGGCTTACGTACGGCATCAGGTTTCCTCAGAGACCCAAGATTGATATTTCCTTAGATGTGATAATAATGAAAATAAATAGAAACATAGATAATCGACCACGTTATGAAGCGGTTTTCGAAAGATCCCTTAGACACTTGGTTATTGAAAAAAATACTTTCGTAGCTTCTTCCTTATGAAATAAAAGCTTTAGTGCGACTGCAGCTGAGTTACCCTTAACTTGGTTTAACTAGACATGCACCACTAGAATATATTGGGTCCCGATATTATTGTAT